CACCGAAACGCTTCCAGAAGAGTTACAACCCAACGAATAATACGCAACTAAATTCAAGCTTTTAATGGACATAACTTTCATCGACCATGAGAAAACGTTCGGCACTCTTTAGTATGAAACAGTAGGCTAAAGGACTGCACCGGTACAGTAGGGTAAAAGCACCCGTTAAACAACTTTGCGAATGGAAGCAAACTCTGGCTGATTCAGAAGCATTCCGCTGTTTCACAGCCCTTTCTGATTTATCGCAGAGAGACCGTAAAACATGGGGACGAAATATGCCTGAAATTATTCACTGGCTATTTGGAAATTGAATTCCGTAGGATTAACATCAGCGGTCAACAGCTCAGCCAACTGAACTGCAGCGATGAGGTGGCACTGTCTGCGGAAAACGTCAGTCACATATAAGACATGCTGCGAGGGCTCGAGAGAAACAGTGCTACAGTGGGACTGCAAATCAATTGGTTAAGGTTGAAGATATTACGATTGAATGCCCAAGCAATCAAACAAAAAGTCTGAAGAAGTCAATATATGCATTTAACTCGGCCAAGAGGTCAACTTCAAACATGATCTGGCTGGAGAGATTCGACGAAGAAGGAGGGCCGGGTTGACGCGTATTCCAACGTCGACAATATCAGGAAATAATTCCTCGCAAACCTGTTCCATTTCACCGTCCTGCCGGCAATTTTATATGATTGTGAGACGCGGGCACTCAGCAAAACCGAAGAGCATCAGCTATCTGTCACCGGGAAAGTCATGAAAAGAAGAATGCTGAAAATCTCACGTCGTGGCCACACCCCAACGCGTTGATCAGATGGCGAATGGGAGTGAAAGATGTCATCGTCGTGGAAGTTGCGGTTGATTACACCACTAGCTTCGCTCACCAGCGATAGTTGGTCGGCGATGATCATTGCCTAGTGCGCCTTGCAGGCGAACAAGACCACTTGGTCGAACACTACGATGACGAAAGGATTAAATGAGGAATCGGGGAATCCGCCCTTTTTGAGGGAGAATGCTGGAGACCGTGAGAAATGGCGGGTGAGATTCGTCCTGATTAACTACCGGTCCAATTGATCAAGTGAAAAGAAAGAATGACGATTGTCTCAGACAGATAATGTCACAACGTTTCTCTCCTGAATCGATATCGTGAGGAAAACCAGCACTACTCTGAACTGAGTGCCTAACACATTGGCACAGCTTAACGTTGAATCGCATAAGACCATAACCTTACACCGGAAAATCTATCGCATCAAACATCATTATTGTTTGAACAGAGGATGACGACTGATACAATGCTGCAAGAAGCAATGGATCGAAGAGTTACAGCCTCGTATAACATCGAAAGCAAGTGAAGACGTGGCAGGGGGTCTCACTTGTCATTCACAATGATTATTAATTCTGTTAAACGAAATCCCTTAGAAAGCATTCGTGTAGCGCGAGTAATGATCTCTGGGTTCATTCCTGACCATAACATAGAGAGAAGAAATTTCCTGTTCTCGTCCTTATGGCTTGCGCACAGAAACAGCACATTCTTCAGTGTCGACAGTGAACAAAATTGTACATAATTTCATGTGTCCCCTGTTTTCGTCGTAATGTATGTTCTTCCCATTTAAAGTGTACTAAGTAAAAATTTAAAACCCGCGTTAAACAGTATAAATGGTGTAAACTCTTTCTCTGCGTTAGCCATCAGCATTAATTTATAGTGTTGCTAGTTAACCAGTATCTTTGTTTTTCGCATAGCTGCTGGTCAGTTCAACAAAAAATATCGTGATTCAACTGTTAAATGGAAGACGTTGAAAAATATTTGTTTTTAAACTCAAAGGATTCATCTTGGAGTGAGGAAGACAAGCTTGCATACCAGACTTGCATGCATTTGCAATACATGCTGAAAAGCTGTAAAAAGTCAAGAACAAGAACCTTAATAAAGGTAACGTACAGATCATTTTTTTCTTATGTCATAACTAATACTGTCTTTGGATAACTCCAGACTTGTTCCTGAAACGATAATTAATTGCTAATGAATATAGCGCCATGTAACTGAATTTATTTGTTTTCCAAATGAGTCGCGAATGGTGTGCAATTGCAATTCAGCTTCGATAGGTGACAAGCAGAGTTTGGAGAAAACTCCTTCAAGACACTTGCCCTAGGCTATTTTTGTCCGACTTCAGGCTCTTTGGCAAATTGGCTGAGCAACCAGTAGTAGCTGCCTCGCCTTTCCTTCTGGAGGCATTCGTAGGACGTGACCAAAAATTCGCTGTTCAGACATTTCACTCCGCAAAAGCAGCGGTTTGACTCCAACGATCCTACGTATCTGAACTGCGGGTCATGTCTAGACGCGGGTGTCTAGCGATTTGACTCAGAACGTCAATTTCTGCCGTTTGTACCTAGGGACGAGGTTCTTCAGGCATGGTCCCCGACTCAAGACCGTGCGAAAGCATCCGGATGAAAATCAACTTAAGCGCAGAAAACTTAGCCTTCAGATTCAACTCTGCTTTAGCCATAGCGGTTCAGGCTAGTTTACTGAGGACGCCATTGGCGGTTTCAATTCGCCGGTCGATCTCTTCCTCTCATTTACCCTAATCGATAAGCATGATCTTGGGCACGTGAATTTTTTCACCTCCCCAACTGCTTTTCCGATTAGCCCAAAGGCACACAGCGAAGACTAGAACAAGAGAGCACTAGACTTTTCGTTTTAGATACATTCATACGCATGCCGGCCACGTCGCACTTGGTTGTGAACTTTTTCAGCTAGCGCTTAGTGGTCAGATTCAGACCATGCGAATAGAACAAGGTCGCCCCCCCCCCAAAACTAAAATTTTCTCCTCTCTAATCTGCTGCACCAATACACTCATCGTCTTGGCTGCTCCTGACTATTCAATCCATGTACAACACAAACAGGAGAAGGGACAGGACATAGCCGTGGCGATGACCAGTGCGAACGTTGAAAGTTCTTACCCTATTACTTATCCTATTTACTCTGAGATGTTGAGTTGTTGTCATCGTAGCTGAGCATCAGGATCAAGGACCTAGTACCCAGATTAAGGATATCTGACGCTTTTGTTTCTCAGAATAATTTAGGCGATATTGCTTGCTTTGGCAGTGGTTATGTTTCTCATCACAAGCAAGTCCACCTCTAGCAGCTGCTTTAGGGTGTGATGTTGGTCTCCTATGCGTCTGCATTTATTTCTTGCTTTCAACAGGAGAATGATTTTTTGACAAGTCCGTATTCTGTCTCCCAATGATTCTGTCAACTCGAAACAGACGCCTGTCTCAGATTTATTCAGATAACATTCTCAGGCCGTCGTCTCCAAAACCTTCTCATTCATTCTTCAATGGAACCACCCTATTTAGAGCGGAAAGTGCCAAGGACAAGGTGATGATCGGTTGACAGTTCTGCGCCTCTCTTAGCACAAACGCCCATTACGAAGCGTCCATAGTCAGATGATATAATTATCTGATCGATCATCGACTTCTTAACATGGGGTTCCCTATATGAGGTATATTGATGCACATTTAGATGCTCGATGAAGATGTTCATAATGGATAGTCGGTTGCTCGCACAAAACCGTAGCAACTTCATGCTGTTATCGTTTAGGTTGCTAGAGGGTTCTTTGTCGTCACGCCTTTCCATTGTCTGCTCCGACATGCGCATTGAAATCGTCGATCAGAATGGTGGATTCCAGACTTGCACTTCGAACCACTAATTCCTCCAGGAAGGATTCACATTCCCTCTACATTGGGCGCATGGATCTGTGAAATGCATTCAAGTTTGTTTCAAAATAAGGTTAATAAAAGTTCTCTTACTAGTAAGAGAAACATAAGTGATTCGCCCGAGAAATCTTGTGATCTTTCCAATAAAATGAAAAAGATGTGAACGCACAAAGGCCTTTGCCTGTGGCAACGGAAGCCTTCCAACGGCAATTGGTAGTACATTAAGTTTGACAATGTTTGAAGTCTGGCTTATGACCTTAAATTTTATAGCCTTTGATGTCCATTCGTGTAGAGTCTGCTCTCGAAGTCACAATTGTTCACCTTTATTTCTAGCATGTTTTTTAGATCGGAATCTTGCAAGAGCTGGGGACATGGCTGTCAAGGTTTGATATACCGCTGATTCAACTGAAAGTGATGACGGTCATAATGTTGCTCATAAAACGTTCAAAGGCAGCTGTGCATGCACTTCTGGGCACAGAAGTGATTTTGGCTCTACGAGAAGTGATCCGCAAATCTGTAGTGGATGATTTAAAAAACAGGGCTGTCTGTTTGATTGGCTATATTGCGTCAGAAGGCCCGATCTGCAGACAGACATTAATCCAGAACAACTTTCCGGAAGTCATTTCCACCGAAGCGCTTAAATCTATGGAAGGTACTAACGATCATATTGTTTTGTCACAGATGCACTAGTGTATTAATATTCTCATTCGCGTGTAGCTTATTAGTCTAATAATGAGCAACGATCGAAGCTAAACTTAGTCAGGTAATTAACCTTATATCCCATGCTGAGCATGTGACAGACAGTCATCAGCCACATTCTGGTGGTCAGTTGCTTCTCTTCTTCATTCAAAGCGGAAAGAGCAATTCAAATTAAGTTTACTTGGTTGAGGAACGGCATTTGCACTCGGCAGAGGATGGCCTCATCGCAATTTAGAAACAGAAACTGTCATCATGAGGAAGGTCGTTATAAGCACATGATGCAGAGTAAGGTGTTGACATTTGTCGAAACCGAGCAACTAACCGCATGCACGCTGTTAATAAAAAATATCAACAAACTTGAATGGTAGAGAAGTAGCAATCTCGACGACCCTCGGCGAATTTCGCTCCGTAAAAGGCATACATTTTGAAGGTAACCGAAGGATCTTAATAAATGCGTGGAACAGTGACTCTTGAAACGTAATCGCACAAGGTGGTAGCAGCGCATCATTATTATCCTGCGTACACAACGGTAAATCAGCCACATCCTTCAGTGCAGACCGGATATTCACTGATGACAATGAAGGAAATGTTTTGCTCTCTGCCGTCCAACCTCCTTTCATCCATACCGCCGATTCAAGCGTTTCTGTTTTGTTGAATTCCGGCTAGACGACTAGTTTATGTTTCGCTTGACAGCACCTGCATCAGTGAAAAGTAAAAGTCAAAAGAGCGAGAGAAGGTCGTTAGTGAGTTGGATTGATCCATTGTGAAGCATTACACGAAACGATACAAATAACTCAGAGCAGAAAACTGTAAAAAGGAAAGGAAAATTTATCATCTTTGGAACATTCATGATTAAGCCCTTTCGGAGACCTCGTTTCCATCAAATTGATGATGCAGTGCTTGGCAAGCTCAGCGTATGGTATTCTGTTTCCTTGCGACAGAGTGGTACTCATTTATCAACCCCTCAGAAAAAAGAGTGTGAATTACCTGGACCAGGGCCTGAACTCGGCACCCACTGGATTTCAAGACTAGAAAAGTATTGAGTACCTGCGAACTGTACCGATTAAGAGAAATCTGCAGAGGTCATACAACAAATCATGAAAGAGATAATGGCTAAGAAAATTGCAACTGAAAATATAAAATACCGCACTGACAAGAACCCACTCGCTGCAGAGCCCATCAAATCTGCTAGAAAGAATGTTATGCCTGATTTCGTCAAGTTGCGTGAATAAAGTGGTGATAGAGAACAAACTGTTGCATCAAAAAATTGTACGCGGTCTTCTTTAAAGCATTATCACTGTGAAATGCATGTTGATTTTAAACTCTTCTGTCGCTTAATGAGAAGCTCAATTTTAAATTTGTTAACTGTCTATTAATTAGAAATAATAAAATACTCGTCGTTTAGATCGTTCCAGTCCCCATGAACGTAAACTGCACTATATTCGAAACATTTCAATGGCGCTCTCCTCACTAACTCGACCAACTGGTCGCGACGAACCTCGCTACTTGCAATTCAGATGTACCTTTCCGTACTTTTCACGAGCCTTCCAAGAATATTTTGATGATGAATCGATAATAGCGGATAACTGCTGGTCACTAGCTAACTTGATGACAGACCATGAAAATTTTTTAATTATCGAAGAGATAATTCGATTTGGATTTTGTCCTCAATTGGTTCGCACGTTGAAGTCGGCCAAAGGGTAGGCTTTTAGTTGTCAAATTAGTATCACGACTAAAATAAATTACTGTATTACCTAATATATAACTTTTGATCTTAACAGTCACTTTCGTTCATTATACCCGTTCCATTGTTTACGCATTTTCGCTAAAGCACCTTGATTTCGTAAACGCTTACTTTCAGATGACGTTATTAATGGAATTTCACACGGTGTTTTATCTATCGAAACATTGGAGGGTCATTGCATGGAAAAAGAAACACTTTTTTACCATTAATAATAAGGATTTGAATCGCGTTTCATTTATTCAAAACATTTTGTTTAAAAATAAGTTTGTAGGTCAAATAATACATACCTTCTCCATGACCAGAATCACATTGTACTGCAGTATTCCTAGATGCTAGCTGCCTAGGGGACGCTTCAAGTAGACCATGGCAGTCTTTAACTGATTTTAGTGCAGCTTCATGGTAAAACTTGTGAACATAACAACTCTGGTATTCAACTGAAATGCATTGCCGGCTCGGTGGCACAGACTTTGGGCAACAAGTAGATCTTGAAAGTGACGGCAAAAACTGATGGCGATTCCGTTCCAACGGAGTTTAGGATTTGAATGTTTTCATTTTTCCTTTCAGGGTAGAAAAAGTATCTGTATAATGACCGTCAAACGAGAAAACTTTACTTCGTAAAAGTCATGTGATGAAAAGAATGAGGAACATCATAACTATTGCTGCACTTTTCATAAAGCTCGTAATTTGGCTAGAATAAAGCATGTATGATGTTGATTCATTTGTTTACAGGGACGACGAAAGGCTGGATGGTGCACTAAGGGCCACTGGCAATATTGCGACGGGCACGGACCAGCAAACGCAAGTTCTGCTTGACAACGATTTTCTCGGCACAGCCGCGTTATTACTAGAAAACCCTGAGTTAACTGTAGTTCGGGAGACGTGCTGGGTGCTGTCGAATATCACCGCGGGAACAAGAGATCAAATCCAGCAATTTCTTGAATATCCTGGTCTTTTGACTAAAGTTGCAAGCATACTCAACAAGGACGATAAGAGGTGGTTGCCGGTAAGGATCGAAGCAGCTTGGTGTCAATCAAACGCGATCATTATGGGAACCAGTAAGCAGCAAGAAGCGTTGATCAGCTCAGCCTGCATCAGAGCATTCTGCGAGTTGCTAAGATCTTGCAAAAATATCAACATACATTTGGTAGGTCAAGAATAACAGTGGAAATACAGTCACTAAAACAACAAATATTTTAGAGTATTCTGACGGCGTTGGATATGCTGCTGACTGCAGGGGTAGGAGGGCAATTTAATGGATTTTTGGGCAACAACGTGATAGAAAGGTTCCTGAAAATCTATGGAGCATTCACAACG